CTGGCGCAGTCTTCCTGTGTGAAGCGCCAGACCCCTTCACACCATGGAATGATGATGATGATGTATGTTTGGGGCTGCATTGCAATATTGATTGTTCGGATCATTGGTATCTAAGTCTTCCGCTGTGCTATTTTATACTTTGTATTGAAAGGTCGGTTCTTGTTCTGGTCTGCACCTATACGGTATGCAACATCTTCTTCTTCCTCGTCTTCCTTGTCGTCTTCGTCTTCGTCTTCGTCTTCGTCTTCGTCTTCGTCTTCGTCTTCGTCGTCTTCGTCTTCGTCTTCGTCTTCGTCTTCCTCATCTTCGTCTTCCTTGTCTTCGTCTTCCTCGTCTTCGTCTTCCTCCTCTTCCTCCTCGTCCTCCTCGTCCTCCTCTTCCTCTTCTTCCTCCTCTTCCTCCTCCTCTTCCTCCTCTTCCTCCTCTTCTTCTTCCTCCTCTTCCTCCTCTTCTTCTTCTTCCTCTTCTTCTTCTTCCTCTCCATGTTTTAGGTGTTTCAAAATACATGACTTTTGTTTCTGAAGCAAGTTCTTCCTCTTCTTCCTCTTCTTCCTCTTCTTCCTCCTCTTCTTCTTCCTCTTCTTCCTCTTCTTCCTCCTCTTCCGGCTCTTCTTCTTCCTCTTCTTCCTCTTCTTCTTCGTCTTCCTCCTCTTCTTCTTCTTCCTCTTCTTCTTCTTCGTCTTCCTCTTCCTCTTCTTGCTCTTCCTCCTCTTCTTCCTCTTCCTCTTCCTCTTCCTCCTCTTCCTGTTCCCCTTCCTCTTCCTCCTCCTCCTCCTCCTCCTCCTCCTCCTCTTCCTCTCCTTCCTCTTCCTCCTCCTCCTCCTCCTGCTCCTCCTCCTGCTTCTTCTGCTGCTGCTTCTTCTTCTTCTTCTGCTGCTGCTGCTGCTTCTGATTCTGATTCTTCTTCCTCCTGCTTCTGCTTCTGCTTCTTCCGCTGCTTCTTCTTCTGCTGCTGCTGCTTGTTGTTGTTGTTGTTGTTGTTGTTGTTGTTGTTGTTGTTGTTGTTGTTCTTCTTCTTCTTCTTCTTCTTCTTCTTCTTCTTCTTCTTCTGAATCGTCTTCTGAATGTTCTCAATCATCTTCTTCTTCTTCTTCCTCTTCTTGTTCTTCTTCTTCTTGTTCTTGTTCTTCTTGTTCTTGTTGTTCTTCTTCTTCTTCTGAATCACGTTCTGAATCATCTTCTGAATCTTCTGAATCTTCTCAGTCATCTTCTGAATCTTCTGAATCTTCTCAATCATTTTCTGAATCTTCTGAATCTTCTCAATCATCTTCTGAACCTTATTCTTCTGAATGTTCTGAATCTTCTTCTAAATCTTCTGAATCTTCAGCTTCAGAATCTTCATCTGAATCTTATTCTTCTGATGTTCTGAATCTTCTTCTAAATCTTCTGAATCTTCAGCTTCAGAATCTTCATCCCTACACTATTAAAATCGCTAACGTGACAAATATGAAATCTGGGCCGTCGTCGGTCCTACCTGCCCATGGCCCAGATCGACCGAACCATGTAACAAATCTGTCATTTGGGCTGTCGGGTCCTACCAGACCGACGGCCTGGATAGATGCGGTCTTAAGATCTTAGGACCGCGCCGAGATCCAGGCCATCGGTCCGGACTGACGGCTCAGATAGACGCGCCGAGTGCCGTGGGGTACTACCGGAGTTCATGACATCGGGCCAACCCAACTTTCCCGTTGGACTGGCCGTTGTCGTGCAGCGCCCTCGGTCCGTTGTATTCGGTGTTGTCGTGCTTCTGCTGTTGTCGTGAAGCGCGCCGTGCGCCCGGTTGTGAAGCGCCCTGTCGTGAAGCTCTCTCTCTCTCTCTCTCTCTCTCTACTGTGGTTGGCCGTTGGTGCTGTAAGCTGTGGCTCTCTCTCGCTCGCTCGCATATGGTTGGCCGTGGTTTGTGGTTGGCAGTTCGGAGTTCTGCATCAACGATGCCTGAACGCCGGTGGAAGATGTCAGACACAGGTCAGTACACTTCTCCCTGCTTCCTCCGCCCTCTCCCCCTGACTTCCGCCGTTGCTTCTCCGCTCTCCACCGCTCCTACTCCGCTTGCCCTGCAATCTCTGCGACTCTCCACTGCTCTGCCGCCCGTCCCCCCTTCTGCTTTCCCTCAGAGAGAGAGAGAGAGAGAGAGAGAGAGAGAGAGAGAGAGGGACCCGAACCTAACTAACTACCCCACCCCCCAAAACGACAACGACGATCAAGTGTAGTATCTGCTCCGATCACAGAGAGAGAGAGAGAGAGAGAGAGAGAGAGAGAGAGAGAGAGAGAGAGAGAGAGAGAGAGAGACCCCAGACTAACTTGCTTCACCTCCCCCTAAAATGACGACGACGAGGACGATAAAGTGTAGTAAATGTTCCGATCAGTTTGATATCTGAACCGTGGACCATCAGGAGTGCGAGCGCGCAGCAGAGCGACAGACACACACACACACACACACACACACACACACACACACACACAGACCCCAAAGTAACTGCCCCGCCCCCCAAAACGACGACGATGATGATGACCGAGTGTAGTATCTGTTTCGATCAGTGTGATATCTGACCGGTGATGATATCTGCCCCGCGCCCCAAAAAAAAAACAAAACGGGGAAACGACGCGTGCACCATAGAGTGAGAGAGAGTATCTGTTCCGATCAGTTTGATATCTGAACCGTGGACCATCGGGAGTGCGCGCGCGCAGCAGAGCGACACAGACACACACACACACACACACAGAGAGAGAGAGAGAGAGAGAGAGAGAGAGAGAGAGAGAGAGAGAGAGAGAGAGAGAGAGAGAGA